GTGACATCCATGTGAAACATCAGGTTCTCCAGACCCCCCTTAACCACTGCCTCCTGACAGTCAGCCAGTTTTCTGGCTTTTAGATGGACACAGCTTTCTGTCCATCTAAAAGAGTAAATCAGCCTTCCTTGGACAAAGGAATGTGACGGAAGATGTCACATGAAAAGAAGATGTCATATGAAAGCCTGGCTGAGTCCAAAGTAAATGACTTCCACTGCTTTCCCCTCACCCACAGAGCTGGTCATTTTATCACAGATGATCATGTTGGCCAGGTGTGATTTACCTTCAGTAAAATCTACACTGACACCCTCTTCTTTGTGTGCCTGGAGATGTATTCCAAGAGCATCTGGTTTGTACCAAATGAGTCTGACCAGCCTGCAGTTCCCAGGATCAACTTGGATTTTTTTGAAGAAGGATGCACTATTTGCCTTCCTCCTGTCTCTGCAGACCTCCTCTGACCTCCATTGCTGTACTCAGTCTCTCCTCCAACCAGCTTCCCAAACACAAATCATTTCACAGCCTGGCTGCCTCCTGTCCAATTTCACTTGGTCTGACCTGAAAATCTCCTGACAGGGATGAACATGACTCCTCAGGTCTTTGACCTTTCATTCCTAAGAGAGATTGAGGGCTGGGCCTCAGAGCTACAGGATCAGGGCTAATTCCCTTCTCCGTGAGCTGCACGTCTTCCCACCAGAGGCTGTGCCTAAAGCCACCCTGATACTGTGCACAAAGAGAGGCAGCAGCCTGCCTCCAGGACAATGGGATAGGACTGCCCAAGCCAATGGCTCTGCCATGGGGTCAGAACTGCAGAGACAAGGATCCATTCAGCCCCTTTTCTCTGAAAAACACGAGGGTTGGAGGATGGGGCTACACATCTTCAGACAAGATGCTGCAGATTGAGCTCAGAGTCCCGTCTCTACACTGTACCCCTCTGCCCTCACGCAGCCCCAGGGGTACACTCCAATGTTTGTTTGTTTGTTTCCATTTGGTTGTGGCTTTTTTTTGTTTTTTTTTTAAACAAAGCAGGCCTGTGTGGGTGGCTGACAGAAGTTGGGAATGCCACAAGGATAAAAAAAGGTGAGGTATATGGAAAAAAACAATAAAGGCCCTTAATTATAGGTGTGGCCGGGAGCTGCTCCTATTATTAAGGTTGCCGACACTTCCCCTTTTAAGACCCTGTTTTCACTAGCTTATAACTTTGTCAAAGCATCACCAACAGAGCAGAAATTTTTGGTAGTGAGTGATTGCCTCCGCTTCAATCAGGCATGTTTATTTAGTTTGTTCTGGAAATACTGGCCCACCCCTACGTCTGCTGGGCTAGAGGATGCACACCTGCAGTCTGGCCCAGGAGACGAAAGCTCTGGGTCTTCTTGGGCTTCAAGCAAGGGCTTGGCCTTGGGCAGAAGGACAGTTTTTGTGTCACGGAGGCTTTGTTTTGCCAGCTCAGTGAGACACTGTTCTCTCCCCCATTGGCGTGGACAAATTATACAGCTTTGCTACAGGCCGGAGGAGGGTTTGTCACAGCTTCTCAGCCTCTGTGAACCTGCTCGACCCTCAAGGTGGTATGACAGTGTGCGGGCTTTCCCCTGGAGGAGCAGGGCTTCCCCAGCGGGGCTTTCTGAGGTACTAACTGCTGCTCTGGGTCAGCACCAGGCTGGGATCTCTGCTGGTCTTCTCTGGTTGGGTCCAGAGATGTTGTGGATGACCCATCCCTTGAGGTGTTCAAGGCCAAGTTGATCTTTGAGGTCCCATCCAACCCAAGCCATTCTATGATTATCTCCTTTGGCCCTGCATTCCTCATTGCCCCTCTTTTGGCTTCTGGGAAGTCTGTGGGAAGAAAGGCCTGATTTGAATAGGGAGGGGACGAAACCCAAAGGGAAAAGGAACAAGGAAGGGGAAGGGATAGAAAATCTAGGGAAAAGCAAATGAGGCAGGGAGTTGGAGAGAATGGCACTGGCTGGGCAAGGGGGGATCGCCTAGGAGCTGTGGGGTGACTTGGGTCAGCAGAGCAGAATGAGAGGAGCCAGATTGCTTGTGGGTGTTCTGGTGGCAGACAGGGCTAATGGAGGCTGAAATAGGGAAAGCTCTGAGCATTCACCAGGAATAGGGAAGACAGAGGTGTCAACTCGTGTGGCCAGGACCACAGGTTTCTGCAGCATTCAAGCAACGGCTGGTCCTGCGACGTGAGCCCAAATGGCATCCAGCATTGTGTCTCACCTCTTACCAGCCCTTAGCTGGGACAGCAGGCCACCATTCTCCCTCTTACACCAAAATACAGCTCTCCCATCACTGAGGAATGGCAGCGCCAAGGTTGTCTGCACAGCTGTCCTTCAACGTCCTCACACATATGACTTATGACAGAGCCTTTAATTACACGGCCACAGATCTATTTTCCATAGGACACCTGCAGCACACAGGTTAGATGGTGCTCTGGGTGAGTCTGGGCTGTGTCATGCAGGAATCTCCTTGCAGGGACTCAGCATCATTTACTTTTTATATTTTGCAAAAGTGTCAAGGAAAAGGAGTGACTCATTGCTGAGACAGTTGTGTGCTGGCCTGGATCATTGCCCCTGCTTTAGGTTTCCTACCTGATGTTGAGAAAGTCACCCACAGCAACCTTTCCAGAGGTAGCTATTAGCTATGTTTTATTTATTTTGGCATTTTGCTTTGTTTCTAGTCTCACACTATCCTGGGATCCTGATGTCTCATTTGCAGCAGTATTTATTGCTCCCTGCTGCACGTGAATGGGGACTTAGATTTGACTGTACAAAAGGCTTTAAAAAGCAGAGCGCTCTGGCAAAGCTCACCACTCAGATCAGCATCTCCACATTGCAGGCTGCTTCTGACCTTACCTCCAGGACACTCGGTCTTCCCTAAAATGCTGCACACTCTCCGTGTGAGTATTCCAGGAAGGCAAATTCATGAGAAATCAAAGAGTGTGCCCTGTGAAAAGGCCTCAGGAACATTAAGCGTTGCTTTTAAAGGAAGGGATGAATATTCTGAAGTTAATAAACTGTGAATTAATGCTTTGAATTACAAGGAGAGAACAGACAGCTGACCCTTAAATGATCACCAGCCAACCTGGGCAGGAATCCCGGAACAACAAATGCATGTGGTCTTATACAGTCTGGACCATAATCCATATCCTTCCTCTTTTAGCCCATTTTGAGTCTGAGGATTTTGCAGCGTTAGCGCTGCCCTTCCATAGCATTTTGAGCATGATAAAGTAAATCTTGTGGTTCTCATGACACACTGCTAACCCTGTGCCTCCGTTACGCCAGAGGCAGGAGGGCAGCTGAGGTGCAGCCCAGGGGAAGTTGGGTGAGATGAGCAGAGGCCCTGGCCTGGTGGGAAGTCACTGTAGGGACCTTGGGGCTGCTGGAGGTCTGCTCTGGTGAATGCATCAAGCTGCAGGTTCCTAGCATGGGCAAGTCTTTGTGAAGAGGTGGCTGCAGTCTTTGAAGCAGCACATCCTTCCCTGGATAGCAGATGAAATACGAATCTGCTCACTGTGGGCCAGGCAGAGCTGCCAAACAGGATCTGGCAGCACATTGAGGTCTGCCAGGTCACTGGAGCTCAGCTTTCCCTGGGGAGGGCGTCAGTTTACCCATGGTTTTGCTAAGTGCTCCAGCTCCCTGGTCATGGAAAATCATACACCTTTCCAACCACTCCAAGCACCTAGCAGAGCAGGGCAGGGCTTCTGTGAGACTCAGCCCATGGCTATAGTGTGAGTATCAGGGGCTGCCCAATGATCTTGCTGCGAGAACAGATCCCAAAGGGTCTCTGAGAACTACCCCGTGCAAACCACCCTCTGCACACACAGCTTCAGCAGCAGAGCTCTCTTCATAGAATCATAAAATCGTTGGAGATGGAAGGGATCCCTAAAGGCCAGCTAGTCCAACTCTCCTGCTATGCACAGGAATACCTCCAGCTTGATCAGGGTGCTCAGAGCCCCTCCAACCTGACCTTGTGTGTCTCCAGGGGCAGGATCACCTCCCTCTCCCTGCTGGCCACGCTACTTTGGATGCAGCCCAGGGTATGGTTGGCTTTCTGGGCTGCGAGGGCACAGTGCTGGCTCATGCCCAGCTGCCATCCACCAATACCCCTCAGTCCCTGGCCCAGGCTCCCCAATACGCATCACTCCATAAGAAGAGGTGTAACCAGGCAATGCTTGGAGAGAAGGAGGTGGGTGTTATTAGATCACCCGCTTAGCTGGGCTAACAGAACTAAAAACTTGATTACAATTCAATTAAGGCAACGTTTCTAATTAAAGACATATTATTTTAAGCCCTAAATGATTAAAATAAAGGCGGCTGAAGTGTCCGTGCACACATTTCATGATTTCACCCCCGAGGGCTGCATCTCCCCTGGGGACAGCGAGAAGAGGAATGGACGATGTATTCTGGGTTATCCTGATGGCACTTCCACGCAAAAAGCCATCATGGAGGTTCAGTGTGGGCCGCACTGCCTGTGTTTGGGGTTGCCTGCTGCCCTCATACCCCAGGATATGACTCCATACCAACAGAGCCCACCATTCTTGGTGGTGTTGGGCTCCCCAGTGAAGCAAACTGTAGGGCTGCACACATCGCCATGCACAAAACTCGACTATATCTGAATTTCCAGAGCCAGAAAACACAATTGCGTGAGAAAATGGGATGGCCGTGGGGCTTTCACTCCCCACAGCCGAGCACCGACAGGCGAGAGCACCAAGGGGAGCCCGGCCGCCCGAGAGGAAACGTCCGCGGAGCCAGGCCCGGGCCGAAAGAACGGCTGATGGAGGAGCGGTTGTACCTTTAACGGCGGGCGGGCGGGCGGGAGGAGGAGGAGGAGGAGGGTCGGGGCTGCGCTGGGTGACATCAGTGGGTTTGGCTCCGGGGCTCAATGGAAACTGGGTGAGCGCCGGGCTGTGCCGAGCACACGCCGGCTGGAGGGGACGGCGAGCGGGCGGGAGGCGGCAGGCAGCGCCGCGCCGCGCTGAGCCGAGCGAAGGAGGGACGCGCCGGGCACGGCCGCCGCCAGCCCTCCCCAATCCTCCGTCATCCTCCCCGCCGCGGCCGCCTGGCCTCCTGACAGCCGGCGGAGCAGCAGCCCCACACGGCCCCCTTCCCGCCAGGGTGGGTATGGGGGGCGCCCGCCTCCATCTTGGGGCGCAAACCCCGGGGGAAAGGCGGCCCCTCCGGCTCTTTGTGTGCGCGGAGGGAGGGAGGAAGGGAAGGAAGGAGGGGCGGGGGAGGGGAGGGCAGGGCGCGATGCGCCGGGCCGGGGGGCAGCGGGGACAAAAGGCTCTTTGTGGGGTGCCGAGAGGGGGTCGCCCCCCCTGCTCCCCTTCTTTCTCCTGCTGTCCCTCGGGGCTCTCCGCTCTCGGGGCCCGGCCGTTGTAGAGACGCGGCGGGGGGGGGGGAGGGGGGCTCGGGCTCTCGGGGCGACCCCGGTGGGCTCGGGGTTGGGGGGGAGCCGGGAAGTTGGCTGCCGTTCGGGGGGTGGTCGCTTTGTGTGATCTACCCGGAAAATACAGCCCGGGTAGGGCCGTGTTGTGCCTGTGGGGGGTGTCAGGAGAGATTTATTTATTTTATTCCTTCCCCCCTCCTTGTTTTTCCTGTTTGTGGCTATTTCTAACGAAAAGGTGGTCTTCAGCGCTTCGCCTCTTATTATTTTCTTATTTTCTTTTTTTTTTTTTTTTCCTCTTTTTTTTCCCTTCCCATCTGCCAGCCCTCCTCTTTGTAAATGCGAAAGGGGCTTAGGGAGGGGGCTGCTCGCTGTCTCCCGTTTCCATCAAAATGCCATATTTTTTTACCCCTTTTTCCCGATCTTTTTTTTTTTTTTTTTCGTTTTCCCTTTTTAATTGTGATTATTAAAAAAGCCTGTTTCAGATGACTGTGTTTTGCCAACCCCTTCCTTTATCTCCTACACATACACACACACACACACACACACACAGACAAGGAAATAAAAGCCCTGCACAGCCCTTACAGGCACGGCACCCCCCACATTCCCACTTCCCCTCGCAGCCTCCATTATGTGGCCTCCAAACTCGGTGCTGTATGGTTTTACTGCCCAGGTGTGGGGCCGAGGTGACGCTCTGCCCTGCGAAATGGCTGGCATCGGACACTCAGCCCCAAGACCGGCTCTATCCTGCTTTTATATAATGGCCTTTGTGTATGTACGTGGGTATTTTATCTTATATAAAAGGGCCCTGGTGCAAAATGGTGTGTGTGTGTCTGTGTGCGGGGAGCGACATGTAGTATTTGTAGTATGTTGTAGGTGTGAGGTGGATATTAACGTGAGCACACGCTTTGCTCTGAGGTGGTGGTGTGTTAATCTGTGTGGAAAACGCAGTGGGTTAAGGGACCTACGGCCCTGGGAGCACTGCTTTGGCTGGAGGGGTCAGGTCTGCTGGGATGGGAGGGGGGGGGGGGGGGGAAACATCACACGGCCTTTTAATTGTAAGCATCTATAAATAATACATGGAGTGATGTAATTTTTTAAATATCACAATATAAATTGTATATGCGAGATCTTCATTCTGTAATAGTAGACCCGAAGATGAGATAAGGGCAGGAACTGTAGATGGGGGGTATGCGCGTGGAGTGGGAGGCAGTCAGCAAATGTGGCGGATGTTGGGACTCCTGGAGCAGTTGCTGCTGGGGGTGTTGTGCCCCCATACCACAGATCCCCATGGCCACCCTCCAGCCATCATCCCCCCGCTCTGTTCCCTAAGCACACTTGTGTTGTGTTGGGGGGGAGATAAGGAGGAGCGACAGCTGTGCGGCCGTGATTTTTCACTCCATTATCCCGCTCCCTGCTCCCACCCCCTCACCCCGGAGCATTTTTTAGATTCCCCTTTGGAGCCTGTTGCTCAATCAGCCAGAAGGGCCGCAGCCTGGCTGTGTGGGGTGTCCTCCTTAACCTGGCTCCTGGCTGTCCAGGAAGGGTGGGACCGTGGTATGGTGGGACCCTGCTGGGAACTGTGGCCGGCTGGGGAGCTGTCATGATGTTTGGGTTCCTGGGAACGTGGACTTTGATCCTTGGCTGGCGTAGGAGGGCAAGCAAGTCGGATGTATGTTAACTGGTGATGCAGAACAGCAGGCAACAGTTGGAAACCATGTCTGCTCACTGTGCCCAGGCCTCCCAGTGTGGCTCCCAAGGCACTGCCTGCCTTCCTCGTAATAAGAAAGTCAGAAATAGCCATGGGGTTTTGTGCTCCTCAGATGCACAGAAACACGCATGCATGAGTAAATAGAGTTGAGGGAACTCCACCTCAGTGTGCTTTGTGCCTGGTTTCAGGATTGGCAATGTCCCCTGAATGCCTTGATGGGATTATTTTCCCTGACATCCCTGTAGCTCATCTTTTCCTCTTCCTGTAATCCCACCTCCTGGGGCAGCTCAGGGTTTATGGTCTGCCCAGAATCCTGTAGCTAGGATTATTTTGTGTGTGTATCTCAAAGCCATTTCTTCTTCCCACTTTTGTTTTTTCCTTCGGTGATGCCTCCTTCCCATCTAGCTGCAGCAAGGGAAAGTTCCTCTCACCTACTTGGGAAAACATGAATCATTCCTCACCTTTCCTGTCCCCAGCAGACTCTGTGTCTGTGCTCTGTACGCTAATGCTGTGGCATTGCATAAATCAGGAGTGTGGCAAACGCCTCTAAGAGGAGCCGTGCTCGTTGGCTTGGTTCCTAGAACAAGTCTGTGTCCGTGGAAGTGGGGAGGGAAAAGGGACCTGCTAGAATGGGGCTGTGTGCTTCAGAAGGGTTGGTTGGGGTGGGTTGGGGAACGAACCATGTGGTTGAGAGCCTCCTACCTTCTGGATTTTCTCTGTGGGATGAGTAGGCTGAGCCTGTCTATGTTAATCGGGTGTAGCAGGTCAAAGGGTGAACTGATCACCTGGGGCAAAAGGCTGGGGGAAGGCTGCAAACAAGCAGCCAGCACACCTGGGTGGGTAGCACAGGCGTGGAGGCTGTTGATCACATCAGCAGAGGTGCGTGGAGATAAGCAAATGGCCGTCCTCCTCCCAACCTGCCTCTCGCAGAGCTCACTCCTGTGTGGTGTCTCCTGCTGCCCCAGCCTCTGCCTAGGGGTGGTGGAGTCGCTAGCTCCTGGCGGTCTGTAAGTCTGTCTCACAGCCCTTGGTTCCAGCACTTTGTTGCAGCTATGGTGCTGGTGTAGTGCTGGGCCACAGAGAATTCTTTCTCAAAAGCCATGTGCCTGTCCCTCCTGTTGTCCCACGGGTCTGGGAGTGTCTTGGTGCTGCTTATTTTAGGCTCCTTACAGTGTGAAGCAGTCACCTGCTGGCACATTGTTAGGAGAGATTTCCTTCCCTGACTCTGGGAAGAAGATGTTGGGAAAGAGGTTCAACCTTTCTGCGTTTTCATGATGGGAACACAGATGATGTTCTTGAGTGGGTCATGTTCCTGCAGTGTTTCTAACTCATGCTGTTCATGGACACCTGAATTTCTGCACAGCAGCTGCATACAAAGTGAAATATTTTGAGATTTAGGAGCTGTGGCCAGCTTCTGGTGTATAAATGATGGGTTCGTTTTGCAGTCTTCCAGGGGGCCCTGATTCAGTTCCAGTTTCTGCTCTGACTTTGTGTTTTTTTTTTTTGTGTTTCTTTTCTCAGCACAACTAAACCATGGAGCTTCGAGTAGGGAACAAATACCGGCTGGGCAGAAAGATTGGCAGTGGTTCGTTTGGAGACATTTACCTAGGTGAGTGTCAGTCTGTGTCCTTCCACCTGCATGGTTGTTTTTCTCAGTTGCATCATTATTTTTGGTTTGAGGAATATATATTTGCCTGTTGATATTTTTAGCACCATGTAAGATTGGAGATGGTGGAGGTGGGGGGGGGAGGAAAAGCTTCAAGAAATACTGCCAGTTGTTGCCCATCCTCTGATGGCACAGAGGGTGGGATGAGCTCCAGTTTGTCTCCCAGATATTGGAGACACGGTGACATTTGATCAAACTGATCTAGATCTGGAGTATTGAGAGTGTGTTTGTTATACACCTTGCTCCAGCTCTCTTGTTGACTTTTACTGAGCTTGGGTGTGTGTGGATATAAACCCACGTGTCAGAGTGGGAGGTGGAAAGGGAGAAGATGGACTTTCCTCCAGGGCAAAAGGAATGGAGCGATGAAAGGCTGATAGTGGGAGAGATGGTCCAGCACCTGAAAGAGAGAGGCCTGACACAGGGAGGTGTAAAACAGGTCGGGGAGGAGGCTGGCATGGCTAAAGTTCTGGGGCCCAGATCTAGTAGATTGTGGGTGGGGTAGAACTTAGAGTTATCATCTGGGGTAGCCTCAGCTGGGAGGTGCATGGGATTGATGGACAAAGCCTGTGGAACTCTTGAGTTTTTATTATCGCAGCACTTGGGGAGAAGCACCTCCAAGCCAGCTCACTGAGGTGTATATGCATTTATTCCCTGATGCTTTGCCCACTGATGTTGCTGGCACAAACTGTGGGGCTGGAGGGGCAGGACAATCCAGTAGCCTGATAGAGCCATCCTTAAAGTTTCTTCACCTGTTGTCCACTTTGCACCATTACCTTTGAAGCTGTGCTCCTCTGGGCCAGCGGAATGGGCCTGCAGTTCCTTTCTTGGTGTTTGCACCCTTTTGGTACTTACAGATGGTTATCATATGCTCCTTGACTGTTTGTTTGCTCAGTTGAGTCGTATTTTGCTTCCTGCTACATCCACTGCTCTTCACTGTTGCTGTTCTTCCAATTTTTCCCAGTTTATCCATCTGCTGAGCAGCTTGGAGCCTACACAGCATTTTAGGTGTGGCTTTTCCAGTGCTGGGCAGAGAAGGGCTACCCTTGAGCGGTCTGTAACACGATGCCTCTGCATAAGCTGCTTTGGGTCTCCTTGGCTTCCCCCATCACCAACACTGTATCATGTTGCAGAATTGGCCTGAGCGTGCTGTCAGCTGTATTGTGCAAAGTCTTTTCCAGGTTCTGCAACATCTCTTTGCCCCTCCCCTAGCTGCCTTCGTTGAATACCTCTAGTTCAGATTACTTTGCCTCATTTTGTAAATCACCTGTTTTCGACCTCTGGCTTTTATCTCCGGCTCTCCCTTGCTCTATTATTCTCTCTTGATTGGTGTTGGCAGCTCCCCTTGAATAAGTACCCTTTGGGAATCACCAGTAACAGGCTTTGTTGCCACCTTCATCCAGAGCACAAACAAAGGTGATAAATAATGGATTGGGGATCCCAATTCCACCCTGCGATGCCATCACTGCAGCCCTTCCTGCTTGTCACTCCTCTGTGGCCCATTAGTGTCTCAGGTGACAGTGCATGCAACACCCAGGTGCTAGGGATAAAAAGGTGACAATTTGTTAGCCTGGATACAACATTTCCACCTATGCTTGAGCTCGGAGCCTTCCAGACCCTTCCAAAGCACTGGAAAGTGCCGTGATCTTGCAGAACATCTGGGATATGTGTGGAGAAAGCAGGGAGGCACTGAGTGGGAAGGCCTGATTCTGCATTTCTGCATCATGTAGCAAGTTCTGTACCTGTACAAAGTGGGCATGGAAAAGCAGCAGCTCAAGTGAAGAGACTGTCCCCTCCTTGCCCAAAACTAAGCCACGTGAGCATCAAGGGAAGCTCCAGTGCCCAGTGTGAGGAGCCTCAAGTGGCTTGGTTTACTCGAATGTAGTATCAAAGCCCTTGTGATGTGCACTGAGGTGCAGGCCAGCCTGTTTTGAAGCAGTGATAGTGAGACTTGTTGGAGCCAGGGTGACACCCCAGCCTGGAGGGATAGGCTCACAGTCTGTGCTGCTGATTGGGCTCACACTGTCCTCTCAAGGCCTGGGTTGCAGACAGAGACTTATTCACTTGAATTTCTCTCCTGCACCGGATCCACCTCTAGGTTTCCTTCATGATGGAGTGGAGGAGGAGCAGAGACAAATGAGTTTTGTCTGCATCTGAAGGCTGGTTTGGGCTGGATGCTTTATTCCCAGGTTTTTCAAGACATTGGTGCTTCTGTGATCTGTGGGTGCTGTGTGCTCTACTCCTTGGGATTTGTTTTTGGGTTTCCTGCCAGAAGGAAATGCGAATTTCCACATGGTCACACACAAAGGGAGGTCTCCTGTTAATCATAATCTGAGGCTCAGATCATGCAGATAATGGCAGATCTCTTGCTTTTGTGCTCTAACTTGAGGTTTATATATGCTGAGCAGAGTTCCCCTGCACTGGGTGGATGGGCACTGGGATCGAGATGGCAGCAGGCCTGAGCCTGCTCACCTCTGAAAAGGAGAGGGAAACCCCAGGAGAGCAAAACCTAGAGGAGCCACAGGGACATTGGGGTCGATGGGAGGCTGCTGCTTTGTCAGGGTGTCGCTGAAGGGGCCTGGCCACGGTGCTGCCTGTGATGCAGATGACTAGGGTGCACCAGAAGAGCCCTTGGGATGAGTAGGGGGCAGGGTGACGAAGGGGAGGGGGTCTGTTCTGCAGACAAAGCATGCCGGGACAGGGCTTTGGACAGTTCCTGGTTGCAAGCTCCTCCTCAATGGGAGGGGAGCGATTTCCTTTGTTTCCTGGACTGTTAACTCTCTCTCGCCCTCTGACTTCTCCCATCTGCTCACAGCCCTCCTTTCTTCTAAGAAAGCTGCTAAGCTGGTGGTGGGGAGAACCCGTTGTCCTGCTCAGTGCGGAAGGTTTGCTGTATCAGACATGCAGCGAGGCTTCTGCTCTTAAAATCCTGCTCAGCAGGTGACATGCTCTGTCCCCAGGGCCCCGTTTCAAACAGCTCGTGATGAATGAGTAGTGTTTGTGCAGCCCCCACAGTGGAGCGAGACTGGGGGTGGATGTTAGGAATTATCCCTGATCCTACATGCGTCTCTCAACTGGTTGAAGCTAGGCAAGTTCTGCCGTGTTTGTCTGGGGTTTGTCAGTCTGGAGAAGGAGCAGGGAGCTGTTAATTTTGTTGTTTGTATCTTTTGAAAGATGGTGGTTTAAAGCATTGAACAAAGCATGAGGGAGACCCTTGGCTTTGGATTCTTGCTGTCTGCTAGTTCTCTAAACAAAAAAATGGCCGAGGGAGCAACCTAAAGATACTTGAGGTGTGGGGGCTGATCTGCAAATGTGAGCTACGTGCATCCTCAGCAAAGACCCGCCCTGTTTTAGGTCTGATTCATCCTCGTTTTACCATCCTAGGCCATAGTTTCTGCTTCCTGTAAGAGACTGACACAAGCATTTGGGCCACGGAGTCTGTGGGTCTGGAGGCCATGCTGAATGGTGTACTTGTATTTTGTAGAATTGAAGCTTTCGTGACGTTTAACACCCCTTCCCACGTACCCACCTGCACCCCTTCCATTTCTCTGCTTATATGCTTATAGATAACTCTGCAAGCAGCCTTGTAAATGGATGCATTGTCATCTTCCTAAGTACGCAGGGCAGTAAGGAGGTGAGAACACATTCATCTTGCCACTATTCAGCTTTGGGCAGTAAGGTTCATTGAAAATGCTAATGCTTCCAGAAGTCAACAAGAGTCATTGTTGCTCGTGTGTCAGCAGATGGACAAGGAGAAGGAAAAATCCCCCAGGGGAGGGATGAGGGAGCTGCTGCTGAGGATTTGGAGGAAAATCTTTACAAAGGCAAGGGAAAAAGAAAGGAAGGAAATGCTCTTGTCTATCTGGGTATCCTGGGTGTTTCCACACTGAATGAGGTCTCGTGATTGAACACGAATTTAAAAGGTAGATAACCAGTCTGTGACCACATTAGTACTGTGGTCTGAGTGCCTTCTGCTGTTCTTTCTCTAACCCCTTCCACTCCTGATCTTTGTAAGAAGGGTTCTGTGTGGTGTGAAGAGAATGCACAGGCTTCTTTTGCAGACCAGAAGGCTTTTAAGTGGGAAATATCAGCCTTTTTCAAACAATCACACTTAGCTCTAGCAATCGGGCTGCCTTTTCCCCACTTCTGTTTGCCTGACTCTGGAGTAAAAGCCCTTATTAAATTCATCCCGTTGGTCCTCTTCCTTCCCCTCCCTCAAAGCACCCTAAATAATTCCTCTCCCTCCTTAGTGTTTACAGCCTTCAAATATTTGCAGACTGTTGTCATGTCCCATTCTTCCTCCCCACCCTTCTTAGTTGTATCTCTTGTCTACATTACATATTTAGCTCTTTTAATCTTCCTTAGTAAATCAATCCCTCCAGGCCCTGATGGTTTTTGTTCCTCTCTTTCAAATTCCTTGCAGCTTGCCTATCTTGACCTGATGCTGTAATATCTAGATGACGTCTTGTTACTAGCAGGGAGCTCTTGGCTAGCTCTATGTACAAGCAGTGCCTGAACCCTTTAGCAGGAGGTGGATCACCTTAGTATCCAGTGGGAGAAGAAATCTAGATGCATGAACTTCTCCTTTTTTTGATAGAACAGCTGCCCTGGTGGACTTTTTGTGAAGACCTCGACCCTTAATGCGGGGACTGGGGAGCATGAGTTCACCAGACCTACCAAAATGTGCCATAGGTTTTCTACAAAGCCTTGTTTTCCCCTTGTGGTGTTCCCCATGCATATTCTGGAGCAACGCTGAGAAGCTGCTCTGAATCTGAGCTGCTCTCTAACTTGTGCTTGAGTGCAACTTGTAACAGTTCCTGATACATGGAAGAACTTGTCTGTATTCCAGGCAGGCACGGGAAGGGGGGAGAGAGAAGCAAGTTTTAAGTGTCATTCCCGTGACCTGTGTACAGATCTTTGTTCTTTCCATTTTAGGATGATGTGAAACATCTGGAATCCTCTCTGCTAATAGGAGAGAAGGATCAGCCTGTTCCTCCTTTGGCAGTGCCCTTTGGGACCAGAGTGCTGGCTTTTGTGGCTGGCAGCTTGCTTCTCTTTGAGGGAAAGTGTGTGGGGAGGTGCTTTTGTATTCATCGCAAGCTTGCTAGCAATACCTTCAACAAAAGGCATCTGAGTAGCTTAATTCACTACTGGATTCAGTTTACTTCTTCATGCTTCTAATTTTGGATGTAGCAAATGTTTCTGTATTGGCAAAAGATTAAATACGTTATTAAAAATCCTCAGGAGAGAGAGAAGCTGGAGATTTGTGAACTGTATCGAGAGCCCAGAGGTAGCTAGGAATGTCAGCAATGTCTCCTCCTGAGCTAATTGGCCCTGTTGAAGTGTGTGGCTTCTAGAACCTGAGGTAACCAGAAATTTTACCGAGGAAGATGTACTCCATCTCACTGCCTGGATGGCTGGCTCGTGTTCTGGAGGCTAAGAATATGGTCAGCTAAAACTTCTGCTCAGGATAGTTTGTGCTGATGCAGATTGTTCTCCCAAAGCCTGGTGCTTGTTGTCCTGGCCTGTCTGTAGGATCAGAGCTGGCTTACTGGTCATGTGCCTTCCTCTGTGCCTGTCTTTGCAAATGGCAGTGCTGGAAACTTGGTAGGAAGTGGCTGAATAATCTCATTTGTTTTGCAGAGAATAAACCTTCAGATTTACCCTGAAATTTTGGCGTCTGCATGGGCCTTGTTAAAAGTGTTTAGCTTCAGTGGAAGCCTGCACAATCTTCCTTTTACTCTCATCTCTGTGCAGGAGCCAACATTGCGACTGGTGAAGAGGTGGCTATCAAACTGGAATGTGTCAAAACCAAGCATCCCCAGCTCCACATTGAAAGCAAATTCTACAAGATGATGCAAGGAGGAGGTGAGATAGGGAGGGAAAAGATGGGACCGGGGGAGTGGTTGAAAGAGGGAGTTATTCTGGAGGGCCTTAGAAAGAAAATGATTTTGGTATTACATAGAACCTTCCCAGCAGGGGATGCAGCAGTTTTCCTCTGTTCTGTGGCTTAATCTTTTTTTTTTTTTTTTTTCCCCAGTGGGTATCCCCTCCATTAAGTGGTGTGGAGCAGAGGGGGACTATAACGTGATGGTGATGGAGCTCTTGGGGCCGAGCCTGGAAGATCTCTTCAACTTCTGTTCCCGCAAATTTAGTCTCAAGACAGTTCTGCTCCTGGCAGACCAGATGGTGAGTTTCCTCTGAAGCATTTGTGCCTACTCTCCTTTTCCATACCTCCCCCCCTTCCCCTCTGCTCAAGAAATGCTACATCCCAGGCTTTTTCATTTAGCAGCAAGTGGCTGCCAGGTTTTACTTTCTTGATGAAGGCCTGGATCCTAGGCGCTGCTGGGTGTTTCTGATCTCTGTCCCTCCTTCCTTCCTCTTTTGCTCACCCTCACATCTGTGCATGTATTACATGCACAGATGCTTTTACCTACATGGTAAATGACTGACACTGCTATCCATCTTGAGTAAACAGCACGTGCCCTGGGCTTAGGACCCTTCTGGACCCTCTCCTTTCCCAGCATGGCTAGGTTTGGAAGTTGACTGGTGTCAGTCCTGAAGCTCAAAGTTTTAATCCATGGAAAGTTAATTCCCATACCTCCTCGTGGTGCTGATGGTGACCTTTCCAAACTGAGGACTGCTGGTCTGTGGGGTTTCCAGATGTAATGTATCCATTTCCAGATACTGCTACCTCCAGTGCATGGGGAGGGTTCATTTTTTTCTTTGACTGCAATCTCTGGTATTCTCTGCAAGGGGTACCTTTTCCTTCTTTGACAGGGTAGGGTATCCTTTTAATACGTGCAGCTATAATGAGCTTTCATTTCATTTCTGTCACGTTGTTTAATTTGAATTCTTTTTCTCTTCTTGTTCTCCTTCAGATTAGCCGTATTGAGTACATTCATTCCAAGAACTTCATCCACCGGGATGTGAAGCCAGACAACTTCCTTATGGGGCTTGGTAAAAAAGGCAACCTAGTATACATCATTGATTTTGGTTTGGCCAAGAAGTACCGGGATGCCCGGACCCACCAGCACATACCTTACCGGGAAAACAAGAATCTGACTGGCACAGCTCGTTATGCTTCTATCAACACCCACCTGGGAATCGGTGAGCCTGCTGCTGCCTCTTGGTGGGGCTTTCCATGGGACATAGCATGTACCTTGTGCAGGGGGGTGGCATGCCTTCTGAAGTTGCAATGCCACATCTGGGGTTTGAGTTGTCACAAAAGCCAGCGTGGCCCAGTAAACAGGTGCTGGCTGGCTACTGGGTTCTGTGCCTGGCTTTTCTACTGGCATGTATGGAGATCATAGGCAAATAACTTTATTGGCCTGTCTTTGTCAACTCTTCTGTCTTATGTGGCCATCTGAACTCCTACAAGCAGAAATGGTCTACTGGACTGTGTTATGCACTGCTTAGTGCAGCAGAACCCTACTTCAGTGGTGAGGCTGTGACCTCCTCGACTTCACTGCCACTAACTCTGCCTTCTACAATTTTTGCAGGCTTGTAGATATGTAAAAGGCATTCAGAGGCATTAAGTCTGTAGGGATACACGCAGCTGAAGCCTCTTACTGACTCCTGTCTGTATCAGTGCTGATTTTGTGGCTGTCAGAGCTGGAACATAACAGGCCACTACTGGGAATGGGGACAGGAACGTGCTGGAAATGCACAACAAGATGGAATAAGGGGAGGCTTCCTACTGCCCAAACATGCAGGTTTTGTAACAGTGAGGATTGGCTTCTGTAGGCCTTTAAAATCTGTGGGTTTTCAAACCACAGTGTCCCACTCACCTCTGAGAGTAAACATGAGGCAGCTGTAGGGAAGCAGGGCTCTGTGCTTGGTGCCTAAGGCTAGTATAGTGCTGAGAGTTCAGCCAGGTCTTACACTGGTGTTGGACGTTGTTACAGGCTTTGCAGATACCCCACACAGGTTAACAGCCAGGGCACTTAAACCTCTTGAAGTCACCCAAGTTTGTCCTGAGAGTGAGCCTCAGTGCACAGCACCTGGTTGATGTGGGGAGCAGAGATGAAATCCTCCTGCAGTTTTCTCTTCCCTGGCTGGATACCTACTTCTTTGTGTGACTTCTTTGTCCCCAGTGTGAGAGTTTCATTGTTACAACGGGGTTCCTTCTACACAGGCTGACTTTGTTCTGCTACTGGTTGACAAACCCGATCGGCAGAAACATTGAAACCACCTTGCCTGTCCAACACAGCTCGCTCTTGGCTGGGTTGGTTCTGGGAGACCTTCTGAAATGTGTAAGCTGGGAATTTGAAAATCACAGCAGAGAAGTGAAACATCTTAAACTGCTGCCTACATTCTGCAAGATTTCGTATCTTAATATTCCTAGGGAAAGCTTTCAGTTCTCCCTTCTTGACTCTGGATTCTTGAGAAAACATCTACAAGACTTCACCTGCAGAAAATAGAGCAATTTCCCACTGTCCTCCTTCCTTACTACTGTGTGGTGTGGCTGTATACTGAAAATGTTTTATTTATATCAAAATGAGGAGTGTTGTGTGTTGAGAGTGGGCTATGATCTCCTGACCTCTTTCACATAGCAAAAATAGTTCTTGCAATGCTCTCCAAGTTGGTCTTGTATCTTGGCTTGACCTGCTTATATATAACTGACTCTCCATTGAATTCTTGGTCAAGATTTCCACAGCCATGGTAACTGCCACAAGGAGACATGCACAAAATAATTCTTACTGCTATGTCTGTCAGTTTTTTTTTTTTTTTATTTTTATTTTTCATGTGTGCCTTCCCTGTCTGAACCAAGCACGAGATGCTAAATGTCTGGTTGTGGGCTTTTTTTGTTTTCTTTAAGGAATTTATTATTCATCTGACCCCTAACTTAGCCCTTTGCTACTGGTGGTTGGCTTGTGTATCAGGGTGAACAAACAGTGTCTGAGTGCTAATCCAAGGGCAAACTGCATAGGCCATCAATCTGAGTGTGGCAGTCACTTGTTCTCTTCATGCCCTTTGCTTCTGAAATGCTGGGTGTGAGTTGCTCAGTGCAACAGGTCTTCAGTATGTTTTCTCTGTGCTGCAGATGGTTGCCCTGAATCATATAAAGGCTGCATGGCTTGCCTGGAGCAAAGGGGATGGAGTGTCATAGTTGCAGCTGAATTTCCTGTTTCTCAAGACCTTGCCACAGGATAAATGGCAGACATGTTTGTGAGTTAGCAGCATTGCCATGGGAACTGTCACTAATTTTTTAATTTTTTTTTTTACTTGTCAGATACTAAATTCTCTGTCATAATGTTCCATTAATGCAGTTTTGAGAGAGGGAAGGAACCAGGTGCTGGGGTATTCATGCGACGGGAATAGCAAATGAATAAATGCCTTTATTTGAATGTGCAAGCTAAGGACTGGGCATTCCGATGTCTGGAGGAAACACATTCTTTTTCCAGTGACCAAGGAAAAAGTAGGAGGCGAGATTGGAGAGGGTTTCCATAGTGGGAGACTTGCTGTTCGGGGAGTCAGTGGACTGTGCAGGCTTTGGTTCACGCATTCCAGTCAATTTTCACATGCTCCAGGGATGAGAGTCCCCTGCACCCTCTGGAACTCGTGAGGTCTGAAATAAATGCCCAGGGGTGCCCAGGAGGCAGTCTTGGTGGGCTCTATCTGGATGACAGCAGGCTGGGCTGGGATCGGGGGCCACTTTTTCCCCGAACTCGTCTCATAGGCAGCATCATGGGCTGTGCCCATCATCAAGTTCTTTTGCTGACCCTGCTGGCTGCCACCCATTTCAGACTTCTGCTGTCATGTAGTGGGGAGAGAAAGAGGAAGCGTAGTCTGAGAATGTGCAGTGTCAGGTCTGAGTGTGTAATCAGGAAAGCATTGCTCGGTTAAAACTGCTTGTGGCAGTTTTAGTAGTAGTGAAGAATTGTGTTTTAAGGAGGCCTGCATGGGGACTGCATTGCTTGGGATAGGATTGGAAAGCACTGGCCTGGGGGACTGGGAGGTACTTTCATTTGCCAGGAAACTAGTTTGGTCATGAACCTTGCATCCAAGGCAAACAATCCTGGTTCTGCTTTTGCCCAAACTTGTCTTCATCAGGCAACTCGCCTTCTTGCTACTCACCTCTGACTCTGCTCCTTGCAAGGAACCTGCTTGGGAACAGAGCTGGGAAGCGGGCTGGGATTCTCCCCAAGAGTGGGAGGAATCTGGCACCATATCCCTGTGCCACTCCTAAGAAGGGGCAGATTGCTTGCAGAGTGAGTTGGATTCAAGAGACTGCGCTGCATTGTGTGGGATGGCGAGCTCATGCTTTGTATTGAAAGGGTTTTTGGGTGAGGATCTGTCTTATGAAAGTAGCAGTCCCCTGTATGTTACAGGAGAGCTGAGAAGCTGAACTGAAACAGAAAGAGGAAACGTGATGTGGTACTGCAGGTTAGGTGCAGGTCATGACTGTAATCCTGCTTCTGAGCTGACTTGCTCTGTGCACCCATTCACATCACTGGGTTTTCTTTTCTCGTTCTGTGGTGTGAGATGTTTGCCTTCTGCTCAGGGATGTTATGTGGTTAATCGATGATTACCAAGCTTCTAAAAGTGGGAAGTAATGGTGTTAAATAAAATTTCCATAGTACGTAGAAGTGAGGGTTTTTTCTAACTCTAATTGCCTGCTTTTGCTGTCTGCTATTACTCAGTCGTCTGTGGCTGTTGGTGTGTGAGGTCAGGCAAAAAAAAAAAGAAAAACCCACCCCAAAAAACACTTGAGATGTATGATTCTGAAAATGAAACAAAGGAATGGAATATGTGAACTTATTCCGTCACCCAAGGTTTAATCCAGGGTCTTGCAGTTGTGGCTATGACTGAAAGAAATGCACGGTGTTCTGAGGTCTGCATAAGTACTGTTCAGGCAGTGTGGCAGCCACAACCCATCATGTTGGTGCTTCAGGCTCCTCTCGGATTTGAATCCCACTAAAATCGTTTAAGTGGACTACAGTGATGAGATGAATCTGAGAAAACTGACTTCAGGGCTGCCACACAGGCGTTTATCACACTGCCTTTTAATAATTAGGTTTTGTGCTTACAGTTATTTTTCTCTGTCATGTTGCTGTGCTGAAGCACGCGTCATGTGCACTGGTGAGCCACCTGATTTAGTTCTGTAATCCATCTCCTTGCCTCCAGTAAGGGCTTGTAGCATCCCCCACTGACTGCAGTCTTCATAGCCTTCTGTCCAGTAGATTTCTCTGGTTCGTGCTCCAGTCAGGGAACCCATAATTACGGACTGTTAAAGTTACTGTTTGGGTAAGTTGAAGGCTGGCAAATTGCAGGATCCAGGTTGCCCTCCACCCCTGTTTTTTCAGGTCCTGGATGTGCATTCAGTGTAGGTTGTTATCAAATATGGTTTAGCTTTATTTATTTGATGCATGGTGTGTAATCACAGCTGTCTGAGAGTGTATGCATGCCAGCCTTCACCCAAATGCAATACGGCCGCTTTCTTTTCCCTGCTTCCTCCATAGCATCTAAGTGTCTCCCAGCCGGTCCTGCAGTTATCTTTGGCAGCAGCCTGATGAGATTAAGAAGCATTAGCCCCTCTAAAGTGGACAACTTGAGGCAGTGAGTTAGTGAGGTCAGAAGAAGCTGTTACTTCAGCACGTTCGACATAAGGTAGTTCAAGGATCAGCAAGGCTTCTTTCTTCTATGCTCCTGTCTTGGACCATAGCATTTTTACAGTATTTCATGTTCTTTGAACCCAAGGCACTTCCCTCCTAAATCTGAAGCGATGGAACCTGCTTTTGTTTTGCAATCAAGGCCTTTTTTCTTTTTTTTCCTTCCACTGCCACTCCTCCCCTAATTCTAATTTGCCAAGCCCCCTGACCCACAGAAGCACTAGGAGGGTGGAAGGAGGAAGGAAGGCCCACAGTGAATTGCAGAGCTTCTGTGTCAAAACCATCTTGAGCAAACTTTTGGTTTAAAATGGCTTGGTCCTGACAGAGAACAAATTTGGGAAACAAAACTTTTAGATGTGATTTTATAAAACACAAAGTGGATCCTTATAATGGCATGTTAAGGGCAATCCTTGCCTGAGCAGAGCTGGTGGTGTCAGTTATACAGTCATTGTCATTTGGAGGGGAAGCTTTTTGGTTAAAATATGCCTTTTTCTTCCACATCTTGAAAAACTACCAGTCCAGAAACTTCTTGCACAGTATTACCTAACAATATTACCTGTTAAGCTTCTCTTAACTGTCAGCACAGCTGTTTATCTTAAGAAGGGGTCACCAGTTCCTTGTTTCTGCCCTGCGTAAAGAAGGTTAAGTGGAATATGTGTTTGACACTGTAGTGTTGGGCTTGTTTCTGTGAGCTTTGCTTTTCTATAACCATCTTTGCCATGACTAATCCCTGGGCTGAGTATCATCCTGGGTGGAGAAGTGCAGGTGCCCTTCCTCTGTGACGGGAAAGGGCAAGCATGTGATGCTGCTGTTGTGTGAATTAAGGCTCCTCCAATTGAGGATATAGGCCAGTCCACTTCTTAAATAGATAGTTGTTCTCTTGTGAGGAGTACTTCAACTCTGCAGTATGAACAGGAATTTTTACTGGACTTTCTTCTATCCTTAAAACTAATGTTTTTCTGTCCTTATAGAACCACCAAAGAAGAGAGAGGGATTGTTTCTTTGATTCTGTGTTCACCTCCAGAGCTGTGAAATTGCCAAAGCAGTTCTAGTTGCCACTCACTCGTTGCCCCATGTAACTTTTTCCCTACAGAACAGAGTCGTCGTGATGACCTGGAGAGCCTGGGCTATGTGCTCATGTATTTCAACCTGGGCTCGCTGCCCTGGCAGGGCCTCAAGGCTGCCACCAAGCGCCAAAAGTACGAGAGGATCAGCGAGAAAAAGATGTCAACGCCAATTGAGGTGCTCTGCAAAGGGTACCCTTGTAAGTGCTCTGATTTTGATGGCTGTGTTGTCTGATGCATGGCTTGCCCTCCTGCTGAAACTTCATGGAGTCTTGAATAATGAAGGGCCCAGAGCCTGGTGTGCTGCTGACGCCAGTGAAGAAAATTAAAAGAGACCTCTGATGATACAGTTCTGGTTCAGAAGTGGGAAACAGATGTTCTAGTGTAGAGCTGAGCCTTTTGTTAGTAAGGGCATAAGGGTGCTGGGAAGAATCTTTTAGAATCTCAGAAACGTTCTGGATGGAGGTGGGCATTGAGGTGAGAAGATGTGCAGGCGATCCTGAGTTATTCTGGATAATAGGAATTAGGGTCAACCAAGATGAGTTCCAGAAATAACCAGGCAATGGAGTAGAAAGTGCGATTCATGGTAGAACAAACGTAGAATAATGTGTGTGAGGGGAGAGTAGAAGGCTCAAACTTCGTGTCACATAGAAACTTGTAAGCTCTGATCTGACAGGTGTCACTCAGCAGTGAGCTGTTCCAGTTACAATGGATGGTTCTGTGAAAGCAGCAGATTTGCACTTAGTGGCTACTGAGGAAAGCGGATCAGGTGTAAAGGATTACTAGAAAGAGAAAAAGCACAGAGTATACATAAACCCTTGGCCAACTCGCACCCTCCTCGCACTGTGCAGCTCTGGTCCTTCCTCTCTTTCAGAACAGGTGCAGTAGGTGTGGAAAAGGTCCAGGAAAGACAAGAAGGAAGATGAGCAGCAAGGTGACTTCTACTCAAGCAGTAAATAAGCAAACTTGAATCTGGAAAGGAGATGGTTAGAGAGGAGATGATCAAAGTCTGTATTCTCACTGTGCCCCCAGATTTTTGGATGGGAGCAGATTCCTTTTCCAGTTCAAGAACTGGAGCAGCCAAATGAAGCTGGCTTTTGCTAGCTTCAAAACAAAGTTATAAGCTTCTCTATGCAGGCAGTAGGAGACCCGTAGAACTCCTTCCCAGAAGATGTTGTGGATGCTTAAAGGAGAGGTTGGACATTGCTGTGGAAGAGAGATCTACTGAGGGTTATTAAATAATTAGAAACAACACCAAACTCAGGAACTTCCGGATCTGAAAACAGGTCAAAGCTGGGCTAGTGTCAATAGAGGCATCAGACGTGCTTGCCTTGGTGTTCCTTTTTGGTAGCTGTCTACTCCTGACCAGAAGCTACTGGACTAAGAGGACCTCTGGTCTGAGCTGAGGTGCATCTCCTGTTACAGAATTCTATCCCTTCCAGTCTTTCTAAATGGCATCAGTCATATTCATATCATGCAAGCCTGCATTCCTCTCCTTCAGCAAACACTGTGACTTGCTGCCTCTTGCTTGAAGAAGCAGACAGAAGAGAGATTTGTGAGCATTACCTCTTGTAAAAAATACGGATGGAATCTTCTCTGTGGCTAGAGCACTACAACCTTCAGAGTCTGTTTTCCTCCTTTCCCAGCTCTGTGTCTGTGCTGTCCTGATGCAGCCCGTTGCTGCTCAAAAGCTGTGGTAGATCTCCAGTGAGGCTGGGGAACAAACAGTGTCTAACAAGTAGCTGTTCTCTGCTCTCTCCAGCTGAGTTCTCGACATACCTCAATTTCTGCCGCTCGCTGAGGTTTGATGACAAACCTGACTACTCGTATTTGCGACAGCTCTTCCGCAACCTCTTCCACCGCCAGGGCTTCTCCTACGACTATGTCTTTGACTGGAACATGCTGAAATTTGTGAGTATGTATGTGGGGAAAGGGCTGGGTGGGATGTGGATGGGTTTTATGGCATGGGGAGGAAGGTAAGAAACTGCCTGTCATCTGTACTTACCCCCAGTGATCAATTTGGGAAAGGGAACCAGGTAGAGGCAGACCAGCATGTTCCAAGATGCTAACTGGGGGGGATACAGCTACAGTTCTGGCAGCACATCTGATGCAACGTGTGGGTCAGTAGATAGACCTCTTGCTGTATGGTTAGAAATCTCCTCTCAGAAGGAGTGAGCTATACCAGAAGATAGGACAGAGTAATAGGTTGCGGTAGCAGCTGTAGTACCACGTGCTTTCATCCACGTTCTTCTCCATGGAAGAATGCCCTCTAGATGGAGTGGAAGATGGTGAGAGGAACTTGTTTATGGGATGGAGCTCTGCTTTCCTGTTGTGTTCAAACACCCTGGATTTTCTGTCTGTTGCTGCTGTCTCTCTTAACTGACAGCCACGTGGGATTTCTCTGTCTGTCCCAGGGAGCAGCCCGAAACCCTGAGGATATGGATCGGGAACGGCGAGAGCACGAGCGAGAAGAAAGGATGGGACAGCTCCGGGGCTCAGCCACACGAGCACTGCCCCCTGGCCCACCTGCTGGAGCCACTGGCAACCGACTTCGCAATGTCGCTGAGCCCATGGCCTCCACCCCCACCTCCCGAATCCAGCAGTCCGGTGAGCAGGATGGGAGGGCTGGTGGAATGTGTGTCACCCCTGTTCATCAGCTGGGTGCTGTAACTGCTGACTGGTGTTGTCTCGCTTTCCTATGCCTCAACAGGAAACACGTCCCCCAGAGCAATCTCAAGAGTGGACAGGGAGCGGAAGGTCAGCATGAGGTTACATCGAGGAGCTCCTGCCAACGTCTCCTCATCTGACCTCACAGGGAGGCAAGAAGTGTCACGGATTTCAGCATCACAGGTGAGCCCCTGCCTGAGTGTTCCACAGAGACTAAGGGCCCTGCAGCAGGTTTTGCCTGATGTGTTAGAGCTGACGTGAAGGCACACTGCCTGAAGCTTCTGCAGCACGCTGGGGAGTGGTACCAGGTTACAGCTTCACTCTTCAGTTGTGTGCTTTCTGCAAGCCGTGCCTAGCATGGTCTTAGATCTGTTTTGCTCTTTTTAAGCCTTCACCTGGTAGTCTTCCAGACCACAGTGGTTTCAAGTGAACCTTGGGAAGGGTGATACATGGGAGAAGTGCTCAGCCTCTCTGTTTTGCTGTCCGTGCCCCTTCTTCATCTCTCGAGTATTCTTTCTGTTCTTTTGTAGACAAGTGTGCCATTTGATCACCTTGGGAAGTGAGGAGCAATTGCCACTGGACCAGTGTTTGCTTAGGTGAGTCCTGGTGCCTGGGATCCTGCAAGGAGGGGATTGCTAGCACCAGGGATTAGGTTAAATCCTTGATGTAACTGTGGGGGATGGGGCATTTCATTTCCCCTTTGCCTTACTTTGAGGTGTTTTTTGGCTTTGGGAGGAAGAGCAAAGGTTGCTGCCAGAGCCTTGAGGATGAATTATCTTGGGTGTGAAAGTAGCTTCTGTTTTTCCTGGAGGGTAGGGAGGGTAGAGAAGGTGCTGCGCTGGGGAGCCATTTTGTTAATTCCTGACGAATGCTTTTCTGGCAGTGTGATGGTGGGGAGGAGTGTGAAACTTTGCACAGCTAAAGAGTATCTCATCTAACTGGACAAGGTAACTGAGGGGTGGCAGGAGAGCAGGAGAAAAAGGCGATTTGGTTAGTTCTGCTCCAGGTGGTATTGAATTGACTGGGGAGAGCCTCTTTGCCTAACTTCCTTTTCTTTTTCTCTCTTTTTTTTTTTTTTTTTAATTTTCTTGATTTCTAGTGTCTTCACTGTATTTTTCTTTTAAAAAACAAAAAACCCCAAAAAAACAAACAAAAACCTAAAAAAAAAAAAAAAACCTGACAAAATCACACACACACACAAACACAAAAAGGAAAAAAAAACAAACAACAACAACAAAAAAAACAACCAACAAACAACAACAGATTTTCTTTTTGCCAATGAGGAGTCGAGCTGTGCCCCGTGCTGGTACGAGCCATTTCCGAGAGGGCTGCCTGCGTCCCCCAGTGTGAGCACCTCCAGGGAGCCGACGACGCGGGAGCCGTGCAGTAACACCTCTGTGCAGCTGCCCCCAGCCCACCCGGGCCCTTTGCTGCCTGCCCGTGTACCCTCTCCTGGTTATAGTTTTCTTCTTCCTTCTTTCTCCCCTCCCCTTTGGGTATCTTCTGCTTTGTTATTTTTTTTAATTATTTTCAAATCATATGGTTTCTAGCCATATACATTTTGACTTTGCTCTCCTTTTTCTCTGAGGGCAGGGGAACGGGGCGGGGAGGGGGGAATTTTCTTTTCTGTTCTGTCCTTTTCAGGAGACTTGTGGGCCGGGAAGGAATCAGATTCCAGCCACACTCGCTAGAAGTCCGATTTTTATTGTAATAACAGAATTTATTTTCTCAAGCATTAAACACATTCTAAGCTGTGAGGGGAATGGTGGCAACGGCCTCATCGCTGACTTGGGCTTCCTTTCCTTGATGGCTTCTCTGCGTCTTGGTTCCAAGTGGCTCTCCATGCCAAGACACCCAGAGCCGAAGTACAGGGAGATGAGAACCCACTTCCCATCCCTGCAGCGGGGTCTCTTTTTGTCTGGCTGTGCGTGTTTTTCTATTTTATTTTATTTTTTTAATTTGTAATTAAACTTGTTTTAATTCCTCGGAGAGAGTGTGAGGAGAAGAGAGGGCTACCCAGAAACTCACGGAGCGGTGGCTCTTGCTCTCTCCTTCCCTCCGGCAGCCCCGGTGAGATCCACCCTCCATGCACAACCCCTTCCCTTCCCCTCCCCCCCCACTTTAGTTGTTTTTAACTATAATTTAGGAATACTCGAGCTGCCCCGTGGCGCTTGGGGGCTCTGAAACACAGCGCTGACCACTGCGACCTGTGGCCTGTAGCAGACACACTGTCACTGGAGTGTGGGGCCCGTGGGTTGTGGGCAGGGCGGGGGGGTGGGGTAGTCTTTTCGTTCGTTCGTTTTTATCCTTTCTATTTAACGCTTCGTTTTTCCTCCCTGTTGTTTTTTTGTTTTTTTTTCCTAATTTATTTACCCCTCTGTCTCTCTCTTTTTTTTTTTTTTTTTTTTTTTTAATTAAAGAGCGAAACTTTTTATTACTTTGTAATTTAAAAAAACAAACAAAAAAAAAAACCTGAAGAACTTTGGGGGGGATTTTGTACTTTTTTCCTGTGTAAATATTGGACTTTTTTGAGCTTTATCGTGGTTGTTAATTTGAAGTAATAAAGTAGAAAATGATAAAGTGACACCAGCATCTGTGCTGCCTCCTTCTCATAGCAGGGCCTGGGCCCAGGGAAGCGCTGCCGTGCAGCCCACCGTGTTCTGACTTCCAGGAACGGTTGTGAGTGTGCAATTACTGGAAAAATGGAACTAAAAATAAATCGTCGTGCCTCAGGATAGGCACTGAAATGCAATGCGGGGCATCGCTTCTAGGGGATCCGAGTTGATCGCTGAAGGGCAGCAGGCCGGGACCCTTCCCTTGGTATAAAGCAGAGGAATTTGGGATTTGCGCTTTTCGCGTTTCAACCTGAAAACAAGCCGCGAAGGAGCAGCGTCGTTGGGCCGCGCTGCCCTTTTAAGAGCGGGGCGGTGACGTCATCTCCCCGCGCCCCGCCACCACCTCCTTCTCCGACTCCTCCTCCGACTCCTTCTCTAGGGACGGCGCATGCGCAGGTGGGGAGGGCCGAGCGGGGAGGGCCCGGCGTCGCCATGGGCTGGTGAGAGCCGCGCGCGCCCGCCTGCCCCAGCGCCGCTGCCGGCGCCCGCCCGCGGGGCAGCGGGGCAGGGCCCGAGCCCAGCGCCGGGCCGGGCCGAGCCTAGCCCCGCCCGCAGGTAAGCCGGGCCGGGGGAGGAGGGTGGCGGTACCGTGGGGTGCTCGAGGGAACCAGCAGCCCCCTCGCTGAGGCGGCCTCTGCCAACTGCGGGGCCTTGTGGGGCCTGTGCGCCCCACGCCGCTCACTCCCCTCAGTGCGGTGCTGCCCACACGGACACGCAGCCCCCGCGCTGCTGCTGGGTGTCACCTTCCTGTGTCGCCTCGCGTGGGGCTGTGCGGGGATCTGCCCTGCTCCGTGGGTGCTGTGTAGGTGTACGGGGAGGCTGTCAGTGCGTTCCTGTATCGCGTGTGGGTTGGGAGCCTGCTGGAGGTTGTGGTCGTCCTGTAAGGAGTGATTCAGGCTTGGCAGGCTGAAGGGATGGGGACGCTTGTGCGTGTCGCTGGGTTCTGGTGAGTGGTAATCCGGGAAAAGGGATGGAGTGGGTTTCAGACGGCTTTGTGAAAGCTCCTTGGAAGGTGGTGAAGCTGTCGGAAGGGGAGGAAGAGATGCGGGAGATGGAGAGGAGATAGCAAAGGAGAGAGCATTGTGAAGAAAGTTTGGAAACGTTCTTGCCACGTGTGGAGCTCGGTTGGAAGTAATCGTTGAAGAAGACAGGCTTCCTCCTGGAGAAGTGCTGAAGAGAAAAAGATAAGAGGTGATCAGTGGCAGAACAGCATCTGCAGAGGAAATAGAAATGTTTTGTCCTGAGAAACTGTGGTGCTCCATCCCTGGAGGTTCAAGGCCAGGTTGGATGGGGCCTTGGGCAGCCTAAGCTGATGGTGTGTGGCTGGGTGGGGTTTGAGGTCCCTTTCAGTTCAAACCATTTAATAACTCTATGGAATGTCTGTTTCCTATTCTGTTCTAAGTAGGCAACAATCAATGAAACTTTAACCGAGCATACATCCTGCTAACAAAGACTTGACTTTTGTTTGACACAGTAGTTACCTATTCCGCTGAACTTGTGTTGCTGGAATTTCTCCTGGAGTCCAAGAGCTAAGCATTCTTCCTAAAAGGGACCAGAAATCTCTTTAGATACATTCCTGCTGTTCAGATCCATTATATTGAAGATTTGTATTTGTGCAGTAGTTTGGGGAAATTCACATTTTCAGGATGCTACTGACACTAAACACTAGGGCTTAAAGGAGTGGTGCGATGATGATGATGATGATGAAGCTGTCTGCTTCAGGTGTCCTCAGGAGTATGGGATGCTTGTGTGTCCACTCTGGTCCAGTGGAGGAGCTTTTAAGTACTTAACACTATGGTCCAGAAGTGGTGTATGTGCTGTTCTTACTTCTTCCCAAACTCTCTGGGGTTTGCTTTCTTGTGGAAGGAGAACAGTTTGTTGCCAAGATGTTACATCCTCCCAGAACATGCAGGGCTCTGAAGGCTGTTTGAAAGTGATAAGGAGAATTAAAACACTCAGTTAAAGTAACTGTAAAATATGATACTGCTTAGACTGGAAGCATCTTTTGAAAGTGTTTTTTCTTTTTTTTTTTTTATTGTGAACTAATTTAGGGGGGAGCAACTGTTCATGTTCATGTTTTCAGCACAGCAACCCTCAGGGTGTTTTTGGAGGTGAAATATTTTCAGTGAAGGCTGTGAGCTCTAACCACCTTCCAGGAGCCTCTCTTGCTAGCCATCCTCCTCCTGAGGATAAGAACTTGCTCCCAGCAAGGTTGTCTCTGGTCTTTGACAATCAGCTCAGCCTCTGAGGGGTTTTTTGTTTGTGATAGTGTAAGTGAAATATCTGGGAATGCAACAGAACAAACCATTTTCAGGGAAAATGCAGCATGTGGGCAAGCTGCCCAGGAGCCTTGCTGCACCTGGGTGTCACCAGATCCTTAAAGCCCCCAAGGGACATAATTTACAGGAAATTCTAGAAGGAAATACCTTACGTGTTCTACCTGCAGCACTGAATGTCACTTAACCCATTGGGTAAGTGCATATTTGTCTCCCCATCCTCAAGTCTGTCTCTGGATTGAAAGGATGGAGATGCTGCTGTTATCATCTTACAGCCACAGTGTGTGGGATTCTGGTTACACTGGAAGGATCAGCTGTTTGAGGACACTGGATAATGGAGAGTGACCAGGAGCAGAGAGAGATGGCATCACAGTTTCAGCTTGCCTTTTCTAAACTGAAAGCATTCTTCCCTCCTTGGCTGTGTCGTGCATCTGGCGCCTTATACAGTATGTGGCAAAACAAAAACAAAGCCCTCTGTGGTTCAGCAAAGAAAATGCCACACGTTACCTAGAGTGGCAATGAAGCCTTGAGAAGGAGATGAGATGAAGTAATGCCTTAAAAGTTGACCTTGCCATGCCACTGTTCCTTCCCAAGGCTGTAAAACATGCCGTGATGATATCAGACGCCGCAGAGCTGATAGCTCGGGAGCCTGCAGTTGTCTGCTCATCTCCAGCACACATACAGCCTAAGCAGTAGTGATGAAAGTACCTTTCTCTCTCCAGGTCACTTAAAATGAGATGGAAGAGAGTTCTTCTCTTAATGGCACACCGTATCTCATCCCTTTGTGGCTGTTTTGTTGGGGAAGAGTGGTTAGAGTTGGGTGAAGATGCTGGCAGCTAATTGCTCTAAGACAGCTGGGAGTGGCCCCTCTCAGGCTGACTTTCAGACTCTCCCCTGTTCCATTATCTCTGTGATGGCACTGATTTTATGGCAGAGCTTTAAGGCGTTATTCATAGACAAGGGCTGCTCTGGAAGTAATGCCTCCTGTTTTATGATGTTGGCCCATGACATCAGAGGTGAATGTGAAGTTTGAACCTTCCCATCAGTATTTTGTTACGTTTTGTTGCTATGTGACAGAGGGCAGCAGAGGGGCAATCTGACCAAACGGTGTCTGATGTGGAAGTACCTATGAAGCAGAGGTGTGTCACTAAATTCCTCCATGTGGAAAAAATGGCACCTCTCGACGCTCATTGATGCTTGCTGAACACTGATGTGACCAAACAGTGGACG